AAATGAAAATATTTTCAAAGCCGCAAGTAAAATAGCATTCGCCGCAAGTTAACGCGGGTATTTTCCGTAATTATTTCTAAGAGTCTGACATCAGCTTTGGTTGCTTTCGAAGTTTAAATTTTTGAAGGCTATTTTTTGATATTCATTAGTTGTATTCTTTCATTTAAATCACAGACAAGTTCAGGCGAAAGTTATTCGCTGAAATATTAAGCAATAAATTCAATCATTAATTGGTTTCAAAGTTTTGCTGCTTGTAACAAATAGTTAATGGTATGCTCAAAATCGCTTACGTCTCCCAGTTTTTTATCCAGATAGTTTGCAGCGACCCAACCATAACGACCCTCTGTATTTCCAGTTATTATGCGAATATCCGAGAAAACATTGTGAACAGTCGCGCCGGCGCTTGGCAATTGCTGGCGCAAGTTCTGTAGGATGGCGTCCGATTTCAGAGGCTCATTGATACTTGAGATATATAAAAGAAAATGTCAAGTCCAGCAGTGTTCAGTGCAACCGGCAATTAAGTAAATATTACATAGCCAAATTAACCAATCATTCAAATTTTAAAATACAGCAAAAAGGCAGATTTAAAAATTGCTACGGTTCTTAGTGAGATAAATTACTTTAATTCAGTGCATATTGCATGGAAAATTGAACAGCTCTCTCCAATTATGGTTCCATTATCCTGCCTTTATTGGGTCTATTCGAATGCAATTTTGGAAAAAATAGAGAAGTACCTTTTAGTTCAATTATAATACACTTCTAAATTCAACATCTTAGTTTCTAGTATTTGATCAAAAGTACCGTCCAATGACATATAGTTCGCGTCCGTTTGCATTTTTTACTTAAATGACTGCTTCTACAGATGCGGAATGTATGCATCCTATGATGTATTTGCAATATCACCATGCTTCTAATTGTCCTTGTAAATTCCCGAGCTTTATTTATAATTGATAATTTAGCAATACAGTACATAAAATTCGTAAACAATTCGTTTTCTATATAAATAAACTCTGATTCAGTTTATTTATGTAGATGCTCTGGAATACGGTGCGCTTCCAAGAGCTTGCCATGAGCTCTGAAAAAACATGCTAATACCCTAAGGCAAAAGCCCATAAAAATGCTTTTGTATGACTTTGAGTAGGTCTATGTGAAAGTGGTTTATAAAAAATATGAGTACAATGAGTTATACAATTTCACAGGATCTTACTCAAGTAAACGCATCCCCGCAGTGGCTGCCAAGTAAAGCGATGTTGATTCGCGTTTCTCTTCGGGAACATTTTCCAGTAACATATTTCTCAAAACAGGAAGCAGTTTCTCGCCTGCCTCTGGCGGACTGTCGCTATATGCTGAAATGCCTGGTTCTTCAAAATGATGAAAAATTTAAATTATTAGTCATATAATGCTAAAATCATACAGTACTTCTCTGTACACAGTGTTATCAATCAATCTGACACCTTTGCACGATTGGTGTATATTTCTTCGGAATGGATAATTGCTTCAATTGCACACTGTTTTACAAACGGTTCCTTAAAAATGACAATATGCCTTCAATTGGTTAATCCGAAAAAGAAAGACCAAACATTTTTTTATCTTAACTCACCGAGAAGTAACCAAAAGTCAATGTTAGCATTAGCGATATCTCTAAACGTAATTCGCTTACCCGAACTTGTCATTTTGGTTTAATATTTGTCAAAGCAAAACTGCATTTATTAATTTATAGTTCATAATTCACAAGCATCTTTGTCTTCTAACAGATATACTTTTTTTCAAATAGAAATCTGTTTACTAACATCACATACAATGTAAGTTTGTTTGCCATGAAATAAGAATGAAAGTTAATCTGCCTTTAAGAAACCGCGGTAACTACGCTGAACCCGGGGACATAACAGTGTACAAATATTTCTAATATGCAAAAAAACTTTCGTCGGCTGAACTCTATGACTAATATTATATTTGGGCCTCAACTCTGTGTGACACCACCATAAATAAGTTGTTATTTTTACGTGGATATCACGTAATTTTTCCTCACGCCTTTCAAATGGTTTACGAACCCGCCCATTCTTTTGTTACAATTTTGAGACCATATATGTGTCTTCAAAATATTGTTGGATACAGCCAAAAGTAGTTACAATTCTGCATGTACTTTTTACTGCTCGTATTATTTTAAGTTAGTTGTTTAATTTTTGAGGAGGTCTTTAAAGGCACTTTAATGTAGTTTAAAACAAAACCTACTCACTGATTTATGTGAATATCTCAGAACTATTGATGTCAATATGTGGAAGTATTAGATATAAACAAAGTAATGGATGTGCAGTTTAAAGGCCATAATTCCAAGATGACAAGAAAAAGAAAGATATATAGATTTGCATTAGGTAGTTTGCATTCTAGAGTGCCTCCGAAATATTTAATATTTTCTACCTTCTACTTTGTAGTTCACTTGTTCGACCCAACCATTTTTACGAAAAGGGTAATCCAACCACTTTAATATGGATATTTTTGAAGATGTTGATCCGGCATCTATCATCAGAGCGTACTAAAAAATACGGGTAAACGCGTAAGTTAAACACTTTGTAAAGCAATTTTTCAATTGCTTGTAGTTAATTAAAAACAGGGTTAACAGATAAATATGATCCCAGTTACAATTTAAAATTCTCGACCTCTTTATTTAACGTCAAATCAATAAACTGTGCTGTCTATGTATGTACCTATATGTATGAACTAGTGCTGTCGGCGAACATGATATTAATTGAGATAAAGCTCTATATTTCATAGCAACGTCTAGGTGTTAACCGCGCAAAAAATTGTCTATTTAGGTTTGACTTAAAATATACATTAAAATAGTAAAATAAACGCACTGCGTATCCAACGTTGTTTGCGACGACGTACAGGGTGATGATAACGATTATCCCAACTACTAACAGAGCAAGCAGTAGGGATAAAACTAGAATCAAATATTTATTAGGTTTGGCCTTTGGGTTATTTGCGGCAGTTGGCGGATCTTCGTATGAGTAATCGTCATCGGCAGCACTGACAACGATCTTGCTGTAAGCAGTACAAAAAAACGCTGCGCTGCAAATAATCATGTATTAAGTTAATGAAAATAGTTAAATCTAGTATCAAATCACATAATATTTATTTCAAATAGCGCGTTTATAATGCTACATATTTAGAAACTGAGTGTTTGAAAAAATAATCTAATTAGTTGTGTTAACGTTTTAGTCTGCAAATTCTACATTTTATATATACTTGAGGTATATATTTGAAATAAACGTATGCTTACCTGGACATTACGCAGAGTAACTAAGATGATCCTGAAACGAATAGTATAGTAAAAGTAGTATGCAATGCAATGAACATGCTAACACGCGGCCTCATCATTATGCGGGATTTGACATCCTCAGATTTTACGTCTCAACACATGTTAATACGTCAACCAATTAAGAGTGCATTTTATGCACAAATTAGCACCGAATATAACGTACAATTTACAATTTATATCAGTATTTAATCTTCCTCCTGCAAAACCTGATCAAAAACCAAGTTGATATTCCAGTTATATTTTTGTTTATTTATCTTTAACTGCTGAATTAAACTGATATCTGAAAAATTTTGAAGTTCACTTTACGTAAGGGAAACAGGTAAGATTTGCTAAAGAATGAAATTTGAAAGCAACGAAAACCGTAAAATATTAGACGAAAAAAGATTATAAGCCAAGACCGAAATGTATATATGCAAATTGACGAAGGAAAGTTATTTTAGGATAAAGAAAGTGGCCTTATTACAATTTGACCTGACAGTTATATTTCTTTTAATCAGTCAATGTTATGGCAATTTTTCACGTTTTCGGAACTTCAGGCTATTTTCAAAATATTTCGGATTTCCCAACAAGCGAGCAGGACTTTTATAATTCATTTAAGTTATAAATTAGCCGAAGATTGTTTATTCTTAAGTAGAAGTTTTCTTGCATGCTTTAGAGCCGCGCAGCGAGCGATTATCTAATTTTTGCAGAATTTATTAAATGCACGATTTCTTACTAGTGTACTTTACTAAGCAATGGCTATAATAAATACACAACAATATCGCTTACCATGCTAAATTTTAAAAACGACCACATAATTCTTTAAAAAAAAGATACAATTTTAGAAAAAAAAACTTTTTTCACATTTTTCAATATTTTCTTCTGGATCAATGTTTCGATTCTTTACCACCATCTCAAATAATTGCAGACCTATTAACTGAAGTGAAGTCTAAGTATCCTGTTTAATAATTTGTAAAAAGGTGGTTTCTTATGTTGACTAGATATATCTAGAAAACATAAGAAACCACACTTTTCATGTATATATACATGTACAGGAAATGCATATATTATATATCCCCTAGCTTTGGGAATATATTCGGTGCTATTTATAAAGTTTATCATTGTGAGACCTATAGTCTCCTTGATGCCTCAACAATTGTTGTTAAGAGAGGTGTCATGATACAGTAGCAAGAAGCGATACCTCGTGTTTAAAAAAATGTACGATAGTCTCTTTTGTCACTTGATCACGAGGCCATTATTCAGTGACAAAAGAAA